TGACTCGCCTCTCCACCGTCAGCACCGCCGTCTACGTCACTCGAGAGGATATCTGCCGCCAGCGGAAGCTCGGTGCTTTTATTTTTTTTTCAGACGCCGACACCGCCCAACCGAAGGGTTTATCATAACAACGTCGAGTGCATGCGAAACGAGTTGATTCCCCGACATCAACTAATTGAAAACCGCGTGTACCATATGTATACATATTTATTATACCTGTGCTATGGTACACGTATATGATATATTATGATATACGTATATTTCGAGTGTGTGCGTGTACGGTCTGAGGAGATTTTCGTTTACGTCTATTGTGAGTTAAAAAAAAAAAAATCGTACACTCTTATAATGCCGTCCGAGGTATAAAGTATACGTATTATACCTACACAAAAGAAGTAAATACTTTTACAATATTTTGTGTACGAGTAACAGTCAATTATAAATATAATTACCATACTTTTACAACCGAAACACAATAACAATACCTAGCTGATAACGTTGTATATTGTGCATATATTTTCTAATGAACGTAACGTTATACTTCAATGTTCTCGTCGTGAACGTCTGGCGAAATTCAAAGCGCTGATTTATTATTGCATTTATTCGCGAAGAAAATATAGTGAATGATATCGAACTATTAATAAATTGTGACGACTCCATATATAGCAAAATGTTATCACCGCAACACCATATAATATGGATTATATAAGTTTTATAAATTCTTCGTGCATGTGCATAAGCTTATAGTCAATATAATTCAAGTATAAATTTCACAGATGAAAAACTTTAAAAATCGTCTTAAATTTTTATTCGATTAAATATTCCTACTCTTCCTTTCCATGTGTTATTTTTAAGGGTAAATCGTTAATTGTCGTATCTATTTCGATATTAAGCTATACTTACATAATAAGTACCCATATAAGTTATGTTTAAAATTAAATTTATATGTCCGTGGTTTTATTTTAAATAGGTATAAACGTATTGTTATTCTTTCAATCGTTTTTAATTTTATATCAAATTCATATTACCACGCTACCATAATACTTGATAATATCATTCTTCGGTAGTTTTCATATTTACTCTTCTTCCAGAACCAGCATGAAACTTGCCTCTTACTTTGACTACTATATAACACGCTATTAAATATTTCCATCTATATTTGCTTCGAAACTTTCATATGGGATCATTTATCTCGTACCAACATGCATTTATATGTGACCTATATTAACGTTCGTTCTTTATATTTTATAGTATTGATCTTATATAGTTTTTATATAGTCTTTTAGCAGCTATTCCAACTATTTAATTAATCATATCTCTTTATCGTAATTTGTGTCATTACTAGAAACCCGGACAAAAGAAGTGTGAACCTGGTAAAGTGCTAGAATAATTATTTTAAACACTATTTTATTATAACACGTGTTATATAATCAAGATACTTCATTAATTTTAATAGCATTACTTATATAATGTATAAAAAAAACTATTTATTAAAAAGTATACTGAAATTTTTCCGTTTAAAATAAAAACAACTTCCGAAGTACCAACTATATTTCATCAATTACTTAAAATTGCTTTGAGTTGTTTATTAATTACATTATTATTATATATATATATATATTTATATTTTATATTATTTCATCTTACTTATAAATTAGAAACATTTACTTACGAGTGTATATTATTATTATACTTTGATATATTACAAACCACTCTCATAAATACCCAGATAACTAACTCGTTAAAGTAGCGTACCTAATTTGCCTAACCAAAACGCCGCGTTACTGTAATTGTATTATTATAAACGTCAACATGATATTTTATAAACAATTAGAATTTATCTTATTAGTTATTACTGTTAAGCAATATAATATAGTAGTAAATAAACGAAACACAATCAACTGTATTAGAATTAATTCAAAACTATTTTTTTAATGATTGAAGTTTTAGAAACATGAACAAATATCGAGCCTATGAAACTTTTATGATAAAATATCAAAACTTTGTAGGGTTTTGAATGATGCAATAAACAATACACTTATATGAATTTAAATGATATCAAATACTATTTATTTTGAAAGAACATTATCAAATTCGACAATAAAACAATTCTTTTTAATCGTTACCTAATTTTATCTAACAGCCGCAATTTAAAATGACATGAGAAATCTTTATTAATGTAAATGTAGTTGTTTTATTGTTCCAAACTCAAATTTATCTTTATGACACTGTTGCATTACGCAAAAATTATTTAAATGATTCTATGTTTATAATTAAGAACCGAAATTTGAAGAAAAATATTATATTTAAATGTCACAAGCTATAACTACACAAACAATTACGATGTATAATCTGACAGTTAATTTCCCAAAAACACAGATACATAATGAAAATGAAATTTTAAAGAGATCATTGAAGTATATTACGTGAAAATTTTACTGACATTTGATTAATTTGGCAACAGATGTCGAATTGCTACGTAGTAGTCAAAAAATAGTTATAACATTTTATTTTTGATTCGTGAAAATGTGTAAAATTATTTTATGAGGAAATATAATTAAACAAAAATAACAACTAAAATCGTTTATCATAAAACAGCTGATGCGACAACAATGAGTCCTGCTAGCTTCAATCCGTTCAGGCATAAAAAACTACTGTTGCGGAATAAGCGGGGTTGCCTCACTCAACTCCTCCTCTCTATGCTATAAATTATGTGTAGATAATCTTTTCTTGTAAAGCTAAAAAAAAGAGAGGTTTAAGGTCACCATTTACCATAATGCTTATAATTATTAAATATGTAAAAACTGCTTCTACTTTACACATTTAAAATTACTTTTACTTAAATATATTTTTTTAAATACGTATCAATATACCACATCATTCAGTCTATACAATAAACAGGTTTATAAACTATTTTGTAATGTTTGACAGAGTCTTAAACCATTGTATTTTAATGTATGAATACAATTGAAAATACATTCTTTGTTTTACTATTTACACCGAAATACTTAAAACACCAAATACGCATGTGTAATACTTTTATTTTTTTCAGCACTTCGAATTCATTTTTAATACACTGTGTAGACACCACTGTGGAACTGTTTATTGTCTAATATATAATATTTGTAATTACCTATAGGCTATAAATTTTTGAAAATATTTATAAATGTTATGATATGGAAAAGAAAAGATTTTATATTTTATTAGCTTAATAACCATTGTAATTTACAACGAAAAACATGTCAATGTCTTTAAATATTATTTTGATTTTTTAATTTTTGTATTGAACAACTAACTAAACCAGGGATCTGGAGTCAAACAAAACAAAAACTACTTAATATCCAAATATAAAAAAAAAAAACGTTTATAACAACCACACAAATATATATTTAAAACTGTAATAGATTTCATGATGAAAGGGGTGAAGAAGGCATAAAACTTGTTTTTCGAGTCTGTGGGATGCAATTAATCAGGCGCCGAAAGCGGGGCACGATGCCCCCGGGGGATACCACAAGGCGCATACCTAATATTGACTTGCTCGCCGCCAAGTCGTTTTACACTGCTGCTATTGCTACTGCGTGTGCCGTAAGGGTACCCGGGAAAAAGAGAAAACGCGCACAAGAAAAACTCTGATTAGTCGGCAAACCCCTCGAGAACCATAACCCCCTAGCATAAAAGGTAAGTTTCTCTACCCCGCGATGCCGTCCCGATGGTTTTTTTCCCTCTTTTTCTTCTTATCTCTTCGCTCTGTAATTGAAATGGCATCTTTCTCTGTCTTCTCCCTCTCTCTATCACTCTTACTTTCTCTCACTACTGACACTCAGTTTATCTCTCTTTCGTTCTCTCTCTGCCACTCTATCTCTGCCAATCTTTTTATATATATTATATATACATCATTCAGAGATAATATTACACCAAGTCTGGGTTTATTTACACATATTTTCCCTTTCGTAATAAACGATAGAAAAAATATTATGAAAATCGTTTAAATGGAATTTTAATGTATATATTTTTTACTATACCCCAAGTCAACCTTTATACCTGTAAAACTAATCATAAAAATAAAGAAAGAGAGAGAGAGAGAGATTTTACGGAATACGTAAAAAATAAATTAGAAATAGAGAACTATCCAGCGGAAAAGTGTGAGCTGTACAGTAAATAGTTGAAAGAGTGGCGAATGGACAGGCTGCAAAATATAATAAGAGAGGAGAGGTACCAGAGGAAGAGATATTCTGGGAGTTCGTGCGTGATGAGTAAGGGGGTTCGACATTGATAGCGGGCAACGTGAGTAGAGGACGGGTAGAACAAACCGTTCCCATTGGCATAATGAAACACGTATATGAACCGTGGAAATGCCGCGTAAAAAGCGGCCAATTTAGTTGAAATGCAACCTCGCGTCGTCGTGCCGAGCTCACGGCGGATGTGGCCTGCAGTGGTGGAAATTGCAAAAGGGGTTTTCCTGCACCTCGTTTCTTCGTTACGGCCGGCCCCAAGGGACACCAAAAATCCCCTTAGCACCTGCGGGAGTGACTCGAAAATCCTGGGATTTTATTCACATATATGTTTTGTTGGGACAAAAACCTATACACACACGCGCACACACATATACGCATACACACACGTCACACATGCACCGCGCGCGCACACATACGAATGTATATACATTATATATAGTATACATGTAGATATACCTATGACCTACCAACGAAAATAGAAGAGAAAATGACATTCGCGCGTGTTTATTTGTGTGCATACGTTTTTATATTATACGCGAAAAAAGCTAAAAAGAGTGTGAAAAATCGATATTTCTTATGATTTCTGTTAAGTTTCTAGATTTACTTTTATTTTTGTTCTTACTCACCTGTAGGAGATAACGGTGGCATGAGGTCTTCGTCGTCGAGAACATCTTCCGCGTCAAGATTTCCATCTAAAAAAAAACATAAATTTAAATGTAAAATATATGTTATGTTACGTCTGCTGTTAATATAAAAATATTATTTCTATTTCAAAGTCTTACACTCTACGGACTTGTCGATTATTTAACGCTATAAAATATGACAATATATTAAAACAAGAGTAAAAGTAGCAAGAGAAAAACGTCAAAAATATTTGTATCTAATACACGAAAAAATTACGTATCCTCCTAACATATATAATTTATATACACGAATACGTATATAATTATATAATTAATATTAATAATTAAAACTATACATTGTATTAAATTCACGCTTACTCTATTCCCAAAAAAACTATTGAAATCTAAATAATTTTTAGTTTTATTTTTGATTTCATTGCAATGTATAATAATATACGCAAAAAATTGTGATTGTGAGTAATTCGTTAAACAGTTATTACTCATTAATCAACACCAAATGCCTACTTTCACGATGATTAAGTATAAATATTTTAATTAAAATAAATACTTATATTTTTTTTAGAAAACTGAAAAATAAATTTATAAAAACTATTTTCATTAAATATTTATTTAAGATTAATTATATATATTTTTTTAATGACAATTTTGAATATGATTGAAGTCACTAACATAACTGATGAAACTGATAAGCTATCAACTTGATCAACTGTCAGCCGACCAATAGGTACTTTCCTACCTTTTATTATTATAATTATAATATTATGTAATATTCTATAATCGATATTATCTATATACGAGTATATAGAGATCGTAAATCTTTTTTTTTTATTATTATTATTCTAATTTTTAAATACCTATATTGGTTATTGAGTTGAATAACAGTATAATTTTCATTATACCTACATAATATTATATAAGTCTTAAACAATTTAATATTGATGTTAAAAAAATAAAACTCATACATTCGTTATATGAGTAAATACATTTATAAACGGGAGTTAAAATTTCAAGCACAATATCTATTACAATTTTAATTATGAAAATTAAATATTATAAATCTAATTAGCAGCTAAAACTAAAATATTCTTAAAGTTATCTTATTTAAACCTTGTCCCCAAAATCAAAAAAAAAAAGACTGTGCATAGTAGACACATACTCGTACATATTTCGATTCAATAAAATGTCAACATAACATTTTCTTACCATGTCTTCAAAATACTATAATTTAAAGTATAAGTGATTTTATGACCGCTTAAAGGTCATCAAAATATACATTATTTACGGTATTTCTCGTTCAAATTTATACGAAAAATAATGTTTCATTAAACAATCGCTATAACACGAATGAAGTATTAAATTGTAATTAATTTACAGCCGATCATATCACAATAATAATTATATATATATTATATACAGTTATTCCTCGTTTAACGACGATGTTAGGTTCCCATAAACTACGACGTTAACTGAAAAAAACGTTAATTGAAACCCTTTTTACATACTATAATATGTTTCTGCCAATAAATAACAATGTATTATTTTACGATAATTATATGACAAAAAATCCATATGTACTCTCTTATGTACACGAAAACTGTATTGTGGTCAGCAAGTGTCATCGAATAACTGATTATCGATGAAATGAAAAACAGATACAAAATAAATGTGTACATACTACACATTATTATATTATTTACCTATAATAAATAAATATAGTACCTACATATAATAGGTGTGTCATTGAAGTCAATAACTGTGTTATTTGAAAAAGTTTGACAAAATTAAATTATAAGCATACATAAATATAACAACAATCTGATGTACCTACTACATACCTACCTATATGTGTATAAAAAATAACATTATACTGAAACTGTTTCGGAGTTAAACGAAACACAAGTTCTTAAACTTCTACCACGTAATAGCGAAACAACGTTAAATAAGGCGACGTTAAACGAGGATTTACTGTATTTATACTGTTGTTATTGTTTCCTATTCTAGTAACGTCATTATTAGGTACACTATAAATGCACTGACCTCGTTTAGTGTATTAATTAGGTCACTTCTGCAGTAGTGAATGAGTGACGGCAATATTGACGATACTCACAAAAAGACGAGTTTTATTAAAACACGCATATTATATATTTGACTGCATTGTTTATAGTTTAAACGTGTTATCTACCTAGTTGCATAGTTGCGATAAATGTCAAAATATGAAAAATATGATAGTAATATAATAATAATATAATCTAACGTGTTGAAGATTGGGTTTTATCAAACAATAATTAAACAGCGAAGTGAATCAAAATCTGTATATAATCATCGACTAAATCGTTAATAGGGTATTTATCTGTGCGATTTAATTATTTTCCACTATCTCAGTAATTGATTGACCATAAAACGTTTTCGAATTTAAAATATAATAATTATTTACCATTAATGTCTTATAACACAGGCGCAAATCCCAGACATTACATACCGCTTGGTTATAACTGATAACCATATTAAGTGAAGACGAACATTTCAAATCAATCAATATTATAAGTAGTATGGCGACAATACATTATTTTGTCGGAGGTGAATTTTATATTACCTAACAATAATAATACGACGGCTTGTGTACCGCGATGGGTAAAATGGTATTATTTTAATCCAAAGGGGAATAACTGCGATGGGATTTCGATCGCGACTATTCCACGTGTGTATAAAGTGCAATGCGATGTATCCCATCAAAACGATAATTTACTTGTCGAATATTTTATCCTAATGGCTGCAGGTGCCGTAATAATAATATAATACAACACATAATGCTAGCGCCGGCAGCGGATTCGTTATGTGGTAAAAACTTGTGCTCCGTATTATACGCATAGTGCGCCAACTATCTACAGTATAATGCTAATATATCCTACAGCACACTGTCCTGGATGTATACGAGTGCATTAATCCAATGGATAATTCGAGTTCCACGTAACCCATCATCGTCACAATTGAATATTTTTCGGTCTGTCGTGAGATTTATGTCAGCGCGAAATGCATTTCGCGTCGTCGTACTATAATGGACAAATGCGTTTCAAAAGTAATTATTCCAAACGCCATTATATATATTATATACTATATACGGGACAGTTGGCACATTTCACGTGTGATATTGTCTGTATAACCATCACTATAATATTATATGTACTGAAACGTCTATAAATCGATCTACAACAGTCCGATGACAGTAAATTCAAGAGCTAGAGAAACACACGTCCAATCTATATATACGTGCATTGTGATATAAACGTGCTATATATATGTACGTGTTTATATATATATATATATTAAACTCGATTATAGTGGACACAATAATATAAACTTTCGCGAGCGTAGAGGTGCCCTCGCGGAGCAGACGTTTTGTCGTTTGAATTGGTTAGACGTTTTATACAAAATGCAATATAAATAAAAAAATAAAAAAACTACTTAAGCCGTACCTCCGCCGACGGGCGATGTCTGCGGCTGACAGCACTAATACATTTAATATACATATTACAAGGATACCCAAGTAAATGTAATATAATTTCAGATGCAAACCATTCAACCTAGCACACAAAAAGCGCAATTATAACTGCTCATAATCACTTTATCTACGCGCGACGTCATAGATTATAGAAAACTATTGTTCAGACGAAGTAATAATAAACCAACGAGCGTTATCGAACACGTAGGTGTTTTTCGATACGCGTAAACTGAAAAATTACAGCCAATTCAATATTGTTCGAGAGAACGGATAGCGATGAAAAATGATTATCGGATGCGACGTAATTTAATAAAAAGTTATGTGATTGTCTATGATATTATACGTATTATCGTATAGTTACGGCACGAGATCAAACGGTTTTCGAAACGCGCATAACCCCCGCATAAATTCGAAATCGCGATACGAACGAAACGCATTTAAGCCGAATTACAGATATTTTATTATATTCTTAGAAAGTCTCCGCCGCCCTTGACAACCGATCCGATCCAGCGGTCGGCGATACGTGAGCAAAGCGTAAGTACGCGACCGGCCAGCGCGCACCGACCCTTATACCTATTTCCTCGGTACCGCCCTCGCTACCACACCTAACCGTCCCCTGCGGCAGCGTTCCGTGCACTTTGTAAACTTATACATTACCGTAATTACCATTCACGCAGCAACCGTAATTGAAAATATTATTTCGTAAACTGTAAACTCGCGCGAGCCGTAATTAAACACCGTGTCCGGCCGTCCTCTTCGGTTCTTCGAAAAAGAAAACTCCGTGTCGAACCTGCCGATCAGCCCGCCGCCGCTAACTTTTCTACGAATAATAAAATATATACGCGAAAAGGTGTTTTGCGTATACCTACGAATCAATCGACAGCAGCCGACAAACGCGTTGTCCGGGTAGAACGCGCGTGTTTTTTCTATTGATTTTTTTTGTTTTATTCTATTATTAAACACACTACGTCCGTTGACCGTGAATAATAGGTATAAATGTATAATCGTTTTCTTCGAGTTAACCGGAATACCGGATCGCGTATCCTAACATTATTGGCAACTAAAAATACAAATATCGTTATCCACGGTCTCCGTTAAGCGGCTGCTAGCGCTGTTTCCTAATCTTCGTGTGGGTAATGATCTAAAATTTTAAATCCTGATTAATATATCATCTCAGACGGTATGTCGGCCGCGTAATGCCGTGCGTACAGTCGTCCTGATTTTTCCTGATAGCAGCGGCCAAACCAAACTTGACAAGTTTATAAACGCCAGAAAGCAAAAACAATTACGTGTGAAAGCGTGGTTTTTTTCCCCCGGATCGGAGTGAATGACGACGAAAGGCGTTGCCGGACGTGAGGCCATATCGCCTGAGTCTGACGTGTATCATTACGCTAGGGACACAAATTGGCCGAGCGAAAGAAGCGCGGTACCCGTAAAGCGCGGAGACGACGATTACTGCCGCGAGAGGAGAAGTAAACGAAATTGGAGTGTAATCGACTCGAATTGAAGTCAAAGATCATCACACTGCGGTGAAAATGACCGTAATCGG